TGGGCACTCATAAGTTTCCTCTCCAGTAATTTGGTTGTAGTCCATGTTTCTAATCCATAGGTCATTACGGGGAGGACGCACTGGGTATAGACTTTTCTTTTTAAACACAATGGTAATGAACCTCTTAGTATGCTACTGTGTCTGCCGAAGGCATTATACTGATGCTTCGCCTTATTTCCTCTTCGTTATATATGTTTGTCTGTACAAGTTTCATGTATTTTCTCTATTCAGATCGTTTATTAATTCAGTTGCATGCATCTGTTCGAATTAAACTCTGTTTGAACATGACCTTAGTCTTATCTTTTCATCATGTCCGAATTTTAGATTTTCTCTATTCAGATCGTTTATTAATTCCTGTATTTCATTTGTTGATTCATTGAAGAGAGCAATATCGTCTGCAAATCTTAGATTGTTTAGGTATTCGTCTCCTATCTTGATACCCTTTCCGTTCCATTCTATCTTGAATATTTCCTCAAACCTAGCTGTAAACATTTTCGGTGAGATAGTGTCGCCCTGTCTAAAACCTTTTTTTATTGGTATTTTATCAGTTTCCGTGTGGAGCTTGATGGTTGCCGTCCCATCTTCGTATATATCTTCCAATATTTTACAATATACCTCTACTCCCTGTCTTCGATTAGCTTCTAGTCAAATGCATTTTCATAATCGATGAATGCCATACACAGGGGTTTCTTATATTCGTTTATTTTTTCTCTTAGTTGGATGAGCGTGTAGATGTGGTCTATTGTTGAGAATCCACTGCGGAAGCCTGCCTGTTCTCTAGGCTGGTTAGAATCCAGACTGTCAGAGATGCGAGCTGTGATGACTGTGAACAGTTTGTAAGGAATTGAAAAGTGGATTATGGGTCGGGAGTTTTTTTTTAGATCCTTTCTATCCTCTTTTTATGTATCAAAATAATTGTTGTGTTTCCCAGGCTTTCGGAGATTTTCCATTGGGAAGGCATTTATTTAAGATTAGCAAGTTTCACTATTGCAATTTCTTCTGCATCTATTATAAGGTCTTCACCTGGTGTTTTCGCTTTCTTCATAGAGGAGTCTCATTTGAATCGATTTTTTTATTAGGAAGTGGAAAATCAATGCGGCTGAGAACTTCATTATTACAATTGCAAACGTTTCGGAGATGCAATCACAGAAAAAGCCTTAAAAGATGATAAGAACATCGTTTTCGTAAAACCAGATAAGGGACGTGGAGTTGTTATGCTAAATAGATATGACTTATTCCATAAACTGAAAACAACACTTAGTGATTCCTTCAAATGTAAATCATGACTGAACCTGCCAATCATCTACTGAAATCAGAAGACAAACTAAACAGACTCTTATGCTCGATAGAAACATCTATCGACGAAATGACCTACAACCTCCTGACTATATCTGGCTCCAAACATGGATTCTTATATGGCCTTCCTAAAATTCATGGAATTGGTCAACCGCTACACTATCATTTCTCTAAATGGAACTTTCAATTAAAGAGCTGCAACATTTTTTGTTTAGATGATGACCTCTTTAACTACTAAAGGAGTCGTTATTTGTTAATGATCCTCTCAATTAAACCACTGACAAATATATAAAGAAAACTGCCATTTCACTCATAAATTATTGGATTTAGCTGCTCACATTCAGTGTTTACCTTTAATGGTTCTATCTTCACGCAGGTCGACGGTGTATCAATGCGATCACCACTTGACCCTTGTTATGCCAGTGGATGACATTTTCTTACTCTTTAACGACCCCTCTCACATTCTTTCCTTTCATACTTGAATCCACAAAAAAAGAACAATATCGAATTCACATGTGAAACTGAATAAAATAACAAAAATATAACTTCTTGACACCTATAACATTTCGTAACATTGTTTCTTCCCCAGCACTAACAGGAAACCCATTTTAGCTGGCCTCAGGCTTCATTATCTCAGATGATTTAGTCACATTTACAAGTTAAAAGGCCTCGCAACACTTATCAACAAAACTTATAACATTTGTTCAAGTTAGCTAGTTTTCATGAAGAAGCTTCATTTAAAGGAATATTTCACTACAAATGGGTACCCATTATACTTATTTTATAAAACCCTACGCAAATTTTAAATTCAGAAATCCATTCAAAAACCTGTATCTACCACAGTCAAAAAAACAGAAATGTATAAAATTTTCACATATAAGCGGTCTAAGTTTTGATCTCGGAAAATCATTAAACAAAATTCTTGGACAATGCTATCCTCAGATCAGTTTTCGGTTTCCCTTTCACAAAAATAATATTATTGGTAGCTACTTAAAAAAGGGAAATTCTTCTAACTCTTAACTATGATCGAATGTGGTTTACCTGTTTATTTTTCTTAGTTGTCAAGCTAACTAAGTGGGATGAAACTCACGATGATTGAGCCACCGCATTATCGAGCACAAAGGTAAATCAATCATGAAAGGCCTACAGCTACTAAAATATCATTCTCGGCAGTTACTCTGATAGCAATGCTGAATTAAAATAA